TCTATCGTTTGCGGATATGGGAAAATAGTTAGTGTGCTCTGCTTTCTCAAGGAGGAAAAACTTTGAAATGACTGGAAGTTTAATTTTCAAGGCTTGGATATTTTTTTCTTTAATATAACAAAGATCTTTCCAAAAACTCGTGAAATTCGAGAAAAAGCTAGAGCTTACAACAGCGCTTCAGCTACGTTTAGCTTCTAATCTGAATGTATGTTTCAACCGTCAGTCCATTTACCAGGGTTTTTGCTCATGAAATCCTTATCTCTTAGGCTTTTATTACAAGTAAATAATGCTAAAATGGTATTATGTTTATAGCCGTCTAGCATATGGTACCTGATTCTGACTTTTAAAGCCAGGCTGATGACTCAAAAGCTCTAGGAGAAAATGCTGTTTGATTTTTTGGCAGACACAAAAAGTACTCTTTATTATCATGTCAAATAATGGTACGGCATGTTTTTTAGAGCATAGTTTAGAGATAACATTTTTTTTTTATGGGCAACTTCTGAGAAAATTTTGTCCATCCCCATTTTTAGCACGTTTTTCGAAATTTCTGAGGGTAATCTATATACACCCAGCTACAATAGACTACTTTGAATTTAACCTTTGCTGTGATGTTGATGTGCATTGCGATAACATAAGTCAAAATTGTGTCCAATGGCAAAATTTCAAAAGTGAATTTGATCTATACTAAATGAATTTATGAGATTTCCATAATTAAACTAACATTTTTAACTCGCAATTATGTTTCTTGGTAATCTAATCTCAAGAAAATTGTAAACATATAAGAGCAAGCCGGGCACCATCCCAAAATACCCAAACATTACTTGGACTAAAAAAACCTAGATTCAAGTTTATTATCGGATTTGAAGAGAAATTTTAAAATCTCCGGAAGATCATTGAAATAAGCAAAAAGATTTTTGAAATTGCTCAAAAAAAGAACGTAATGTATGAATATGATGTTGGTTTCCCCAAATTTTTGTGGATCTGGGAACGTATTCAAAGCGCCCCTAGTAGATTAGGTCTGCTGAAGAGAAAAAAATTATATAAAATAATGTCTTCTTCTTTTTTTTTTAATTCAAACTGATAACTCATGATCACACCATTGAAGAGTTTTGATATCATGAGGATACTGATATAAATTCGTTTTTCCTATCATAAACGTAATGGCAAATTTTTAAAAATAGATTTAAGACCTACAGAGCTTTTTCTATGCAATTATTTCATTCATTACCAAACATTGCAACTCTCTGATAAAGCCTAGCGGCCTGCTTATAAATAAAATAAAATATTATTTATCATCTTTAATTGATAATGAATACTTACAGATTTGACGTTCCCACGACAACTTTGTTTCAACAAGTGCTTATGATATAAGCCAGGAAGACTAAACCTGCTCGAAGAAATGTTTTCTGTTGTGTATCCCGAATATAATTACAGAAACCGTGATAGTTGTACGAAAGTGAAGAGAAAGAAGCATCTCGAGGTTAAATAAGAGTTTAAATTTGTCATTCTCACACAGAGCTGGGAATCAAATATGGAATTGGGTTTCACCTTGGTATATGCTGTTACTATGATCGTCGCTTTGCAAGGAAACATTTTGCTGATGTACATCGTCTGGAGGAAACGTGAGACAAGAACTTTGACGAGTTTCTTGTTTGTCAATATGGCGATTGCCGATTTACTAATTGCGGTACTTCAGATGCCCTCCTCCATAGCGCACTTCTACGTCTCTGAATTCACTGGTGCGGTCGGGAATCTATTCTGCCGATTTGTAATCTATCTTGTGAATGCCTCCATGACAGCCTCGATCTTCAGCCTTGTCGTGATGGCATTCGATCGACATTTTGCTGTTATACACCCTTTGAAGCGAATGATTTGGTTCCGAAGAGCCAAAATTATTCTACCAGTCATTTGGATCGCATCCTGCACCTTAATGGTCATCTCACCATTTTCTTTCATGGTCAGGGATAGCCTTGGAAAATGCTTTTATACAGACGAACATATCCCGCGGGTGCCCTTTTGGACTTACCTACTGCTCATCAACTACATCATGCCTCTTGCCATCATCTCTTGCGCGAAAGATATGGTTCCACGAGATTCCTGGCCAACTTGAATCTTCCAGACTCCAGCCAGATGAGCATATTCCAAGGAAAAAAGTTGTTCGAACGCTCATTATTGTTGTGGTGGTTTTTGTGGTCTGCTGGTTTCCCATGCAAGTGCTTAACATGAACATTGCAGTGACAGCTGAAATAACTTGGCACCCCATTGCTATCTACTTTATCTATTGGCTTGGTCAAGCTAACAGTGCCATAAACCCCTGGCTGTACATCGGTCTTAATGACAAAATGAATGCAGCTTTCAAAACAATGATCCGATGCCACGGGCGGGAAAATACATTGTTACACAGACCATCTACCGCGACTATACGTTCAAATACAGCTGTTACCACAGTATGAAATCCTCCAACGGCTAATGGTTGAGCTGATGAAAGCATTGCCTATGACATGTTTAGTTAAACGATTACAGGCTTGAATGCACATGCTTCCTCGAAGATTAGATGAGGCAAGGGAGAAAGTATATTGGGATCAGTAGAGGAAGGCGAGGCCATCAATTGAGTGCCGCGCCTCAACTGCTTCGGTTTATATCGACAAAATAGCTGAATATAGATTGAAACTTTAACTCCTTAGCTTGAAATAATGGGGCAGAAAATATCATTTCCAGTGCAAGTTATTTACTTCATGAACGGAAACAGTTCAAAAAGAAGTCATCACGGCTAAACAAGAAACAACACTGATTTGTTTTGACTGCTGTTGAAAATTTAATTTCTTATACCTTTACTAGAAAGAAAGAACCGACGACATGGCTTTTGTTCTCTAGGTAATGACTAAATGTAAATAAACAAATTATATTAAGGATTTTATAATTATTATCAATGTCTGACAGTAATTACCTGATTTGAAATGCAGATTTCTTTTTTTCTAAAGCCAACCGTGACGTTGAATGCAACGACCATTAATGATCGTTTTTCACGTAACAACGGATATCCTTAAGCTGATTGACTACTACAACACTCTTTTCAAAATTTTCCCTATTGTTACAGAATACCATCGTTTAATAACGGTGCTCAACTTAACGTGTTTATTTCCTTTTACTAAAGATAATGTCAAAAAGTGTTTCAGTCTCAATTCTAACTTAATAACTCATAACGTAATATGAGTCAGCAGGGATGTTTTTATTGTATGGTTTAAAACGTTACAGAAAGCTGACTAACCAGGACCACTTCGCCATCAACTGCTCGTTAGAAAGCAATATTATCTAGAACGGTTAGTTCGTACATTTTTAATTCTTATAGTTCTGGTTTTTTATTATAAAATTAATTTAGAGTTTTCGAAAAATGAAACAAATAGTATATTTTGTTCAAATTCACGCATACTTTTTATTGGGTGCTGTTTTTTAGGGCAAATTTCGCGGATGCTGCTTACCTGTATAAAACTTTAGTACATTGTGCGTTAAAAGTGCCTAAAATTAGGAATCTCGTGATATAAGCCTATAGTCAAACAAATGTAAATCTGGCCGACTTCTTCCCCGTAGCGATAATGCCTTTTTTTTTGCTATTTACATAACATTGCTTTTTTCAAAAGCGTGGGGCAAAGGAAATAAACAAAATCTGTCGCAAAAAATGCATACTTTTTACCGGGTACTGCTTTTTATTTTTAGATTCGTGTATGCTAGGTTAGTCTGCATTTAAAAAAATCATTTCATTCAAAAAGTGAAAGAAACCAAATATTGTGGGTCAGCGCTGCCTCGGATGTAGGAAATTTGCGTTTACTTTTATTTATTGGCCAAAATTATCTATAGCGTTAAAGCCTTTGATTCCAGACTCATTTCTAAAATATGTCGCCAGGAATGTTTTTACGGTGATTTTACAACGTTACAGAAAGGGCATTAACAGGGACTACTTTCGATCAATTAGCTGTGTTTTGCCTACAAAAGCGACTGCAATGTTATCTTGCAAAGTTAGTGCTCATTTTTTTCGTATAGTTAGAAAGTAAAATGGAAGAAAATCATTATGCGTCAAAGGTGCCACGAATTAGAATTTCGTGACATGAGCCTGGCCAGACGATTGAAAATACGGCTTTCATCTTCCCTGAAGCGATAAAGCTCGTGTTTGCTTTACAAAGAAAGTGAAAAGAAAATCCGAGAAACACGCTTTCAAAATGCTAAAACCCATGGTTCCTTGTCGAACGAAGGCTAATTCACACTCAACCGCGTGGTAATGACTTGTCATTTCTCGCGATAGCACACGATTTGAAACATGAAATCTGCGGGTCTTATTTATTTATTTTTTTAATTTATCGTTAACGCTATTATTAGTCTCCACGTCGAAAATTCGTCTGCCAAAAATCCCTTAAGGCATCTCGCCACTGTCTTTTTAGACCGTTGCTAGGGCAGATTTAGCTGACTGTAATCGGTGGTTGTGGTTCTTAATTTTTAACATTAGTTTGGACAGAGTTCTTAGAACGAGATAGCAAGTCCAACGATAATGTAACCAGGGCACGCCTAAAGTCACATGACCCATGACGAAAGAGTGAACGGTTTCCAAGAAGCAAACAGTTTTATGAATAGTTTTCAAAATCAGCACGTTTAACGCAAGAAATCAAGCATGCACTTTAATACGAATAATGAACACACAAAAAAGTGTCCCGTCCAACGGGAATTTTTTTTAGCATAAACTCCTTGTTTTATCTTCATGACATGACTTCCATGCTTGCATTTTAAACAAAACAACATTTCTTTCGATTACTCCAAACAAACATGCTGCATCTTTTTATTGTCGAGAACAGTGCGCGTGTTCGTATGCAGCGGAAGTAGTAAATTATGGCTGCTGATTGGATAAATATCATGTCATTGACAATTACGACGCCGAAAAGACTTCGCTGTTGCTCACGTACGCTTCATTTTTAACATGAATCTGAGCAAGAAGGATAGACTCCCCGTTTGCAACAAGTCCCTCCACACATATCAGAAAAGTTTTAACGTGAGTATCGAATGAATATTGAATGTGCGTCTTTACTTTTACCTTTTAATTTGGTAAAATACGCGTTAAAAAGGTAATCGTCTAATTTCGAGCCCGAAATTTAGTTCGAATGAATGAATAAATGTCTTACGCTATAATTTTTTCGGAAAAATAGTTTTCGAAGCCATTTGTTTGATATATAGACAATCGCAGGCGTGCAGAGAGCTTTTCAAGGCTCCAGACAAACCTTTAATACTTACAGTTTGTGTCTAACCATCTTTTGCTGCCTGATTAAAAAATTTCCAACTCAGTGTTCGCTTTTCAGAAAGAGTCTTTCGATGTATCAGCGACTCTCAGCCATGACTGCAGTTCTTTCGTTCTTTTTAGCGCTTTCCCTTTGCCGTCAAAGACTGTCAAATTGAAGCATTTCAAAGTCGACCTCGTCACTCTTCCCATAAAATTATTAATAAAAGACACAGGTAAATATCGCTATTTCTTACAAACTGATGTTGGGACCCCAAAAAATGTGTTACTCTCGCAGATGTAGCACCTGCCACGTGAAGATGTTGAACCGGGAGTGAAATTGCCGATTTGCATGGAGATAACGTAACTTGGAAACGACATATACTGTAGTGAAAGCCATTAATACCAGAATGAAAAATAAGAACAATAAACGTTAGGCACATTCTGAACCACTTGTTTTCTGGTTGTAAAAAGAATTATAGCACTTAAGTGCGATCTTTGTAAGAGCGGTCTAAGGCATTTCGCATTGGAAAAAAAGTTTTGCCTCAAACTTTGCATATTAAACTATCTTTGGTAGAAAGTAAATAAAACCACATTGGTTTCTGGAAATACGTTTAAAAATTTTTGAGAGCTCTTAATAATCAAAGCTGCAAAGGGTTCTTTTTTGACCGCTGACGACATAATTTCCTTCGCTCTAGTGACTTCTAACTTTTGGCGATTTTGTTAGCGTGACAGCAGAGTTATGCAAATTAGTATGTTGGCAAACTCCGACCGTTTATTTTGTTCTCTTCATAAATCTAAGATTTTAATCATTTTAAAGAGAAAAGATACTAGGGAAGAGTTTTTATAACACGCTGATCGATTCTCTAAACATTTTAAACAGCTAAATTCTGGCAAATGACGGCTGATTCGGTCAACGTGTTTATGAGAAACTTTTTAAAAAAATTGGTTTCTGTTCTTTTATATTTGAGTTCAGAGAGCTTAAGCTATTCAAACCTATATGAACATTTCAGAACCAAACTAAAGGATTTTATTTAGTGTTTAGTTTAAATAAGGCAGCGATAACGTGATTTTTTGCTCGGAATTCAAGCCTAGCTCTTCCAGGCTGTCAGCCGTGTTTGCCCTTGATGGGAGCAGAGAAATACAGGACTTCAGATCAGTGAGAGGAAATGTCCGAGATCCATTGCAAGGTTTCAGTGCATGCAATAACAGCATTACCGATGCTATACAAAAGCTCTACTCTCATGCGTTCTAGTTCGTCTATAATTTGGAAAAAAATCTTTAAAACCATCGGCACCCTCAGCTACATTATTTTCTAGACCCTGCACTGATCACCTCTGTGTCCTCTTGAACTTCTAAGAATCTCCTCGTGGTTGATTTACCTATCGGTTGAAATTCAGTTTCTTTGTAATGGCCATGTATAATTAATGATGGTACACTTGGCTACGGTGCGCACGACGTTAGGGGTGACAAACTCGTCACCGATTTTAAGTTTGATGGTGCAAGTGCCTCACGCTACGTCTTGACAGCAGTATGGCCTCATTGTGAAATCTAACAGTAGTTCAGCTGAAGCTTTTCCATACGGATTGTTTACCGCGAGACTTTTTCGATTGGCACTCCGGGCCCCTCAGTCTTCGCTTGTGTTCAGTGCCTTCTTTATTTGTTTTTCAAAGAGGTTTTCAAATGACTGATTTATGTGTTTAAGCGCGTTGACTGAGAATCTATTGGCATAATACTTAGGATTTTAAAGAGATCCTACTGATAGGCGACAAGAGGGGTTTGAAAGCCAACATCGAAAGCTTTCTAACACTTCTGCTGGCCTACGACCGCCTGGAATAATGCTTTACCATCTCTTAGCGCCATGACATCGCACGCCCGCTGGCAAGCTTCTCTAACTTTTTGAACAAACTCAGATTCTAAGGAAAGGAGCATTTTTCCCATCAATCTACTTGGGATTCCAAGTGTGTAATCTTGGGCTTTTGTATAGCGTCGGCGATGCTGTCATTGCACGAATTGAAACTTTTCCTACCACTGATGTGAATTTCTGCTGTTCTCTGCTCCCACCAAGTGCAAACATGGTTTGTAGTCCTGAATAACTAGGCTAGAATCCCGAGCATCGCTGCCTTATTTAGATGGGACTAGTACATAATCGAATTACTGACTGAGACGCTCGTCGCGATGAATTTCAGTATGTGTTGTTAAAGACTACGTGCACTTCCTCCTTTTGAGCGAAGTTTAAAAAATCAAAGCTAAAAAAAGCATCAGAGCTAAAAAAAGAAAAAAAGATATCAGCGCGCCGCCGAGAGCTCTTGGAAAGAGGCACTAACATAAATTTTTTCTTCACTGATTTTTTTCGACCTGCGCCACGGACTTCGCCGAAAAAGAGAGACTGTTGTTATCGCCGGTTACACTAAATAAAAATCCTGTAGTTTGTTTCTGAAATGTTCATACAGGTTTGAATAGCTTGAGCTCTCTAAACTCAAATATGAAAGAAAAAAACCAGTTTTTTTCTAAAGTTTCTCATTACCACGTTGATCGAACGCTAAGTAATAAGATATTCGATAGGTTTTGATCACCTTTTTCGTCACGAGACAGAATCATTTGCCAGAATTTAGCGTTTAAAATGTTAAGAGAATCAATCAATTTGTTCGAAAAGCTCTTACTTACTATCTATTCTTTTTAAAATGGTTAAAATCTAAGATTTATGAAGCTACCAGTATAAACGGTCGGAGTTGGTTCAACAGAATAATTTGAATAATTCTGCTGTCACGCCAGAAAAATTACCAAAAGTTTGTAGTCACTAATGCGAAGGAAATTAATGAGCGCAAGATGTTTTTACATTTCTATGCTTTCCCACATCTTATTAGAAGAGATCAACCTTAGTTTTCAATAGTCTGGTCTGGACTAGAGAAATATAACCCAATTTCAGAAAGCTGCCTAACGGGTGTTTTTAAATCAATTATGGTGAACCTCTGGATAAACACATATCAGAATTTAAATGCTTTCCAAACTGCTTATGTATCACACAATTAAGACTACAAACGATTTCTTGCTGCATGTAGTGTGTAACAAGGAGCGAGCTTGTCAACTTTAGAAATTTTCGATGTCGCAAGACGTCAGAAAGGGCCTTTTGCAGCTTTGATTATTGAGAGCTCTCAAAACCTTTTTTTTAGTATTTCCAGAAACCAATGAGATTTCATCTACTTACTACAAAAGATAGTTTAATGGGCAAAGTTTGAGGCAAAACCTTTTTTCCGATGCGAAATGCCTTGGACCGCACTTACAGAGATCGCCTCTTAACTCAGTGTTAACTTAAATGTTTATAATTCTATACTATCGAGAGGTGAGGTCGTGTAGTTCACATAAACGTCAGCTGTAATGAACATGAACCGTCCTATTCACCCATGGAGATTACGCAAAGTATGAAAATATAAAAAGATTAAAATTTTTCATGCTATGATCGCTCCAAGGAGGCCAGGATCAGGGTTCTTATGAAAAACTCACAGAAAGCCACAATAGGAGTCATATTTCTTTTGTTTAAATGAAATCCAAATGGGATAAAACTTCAATGAATACCGGATATAGCAAGCGTAGTTGAATAGTTGTTAATAGAGGATAATGAGCGTTTTGTGAAATTACTTTACCCAAGTGCAGAGCAGCAATATGGATAACCATTTTCATACCATTATCAAAGCAGTATAATTTTGCAACATATGTTTATTTTGAAGTTTCTCTGTTTATAAGAAAAGGGTATAGAGAGGTATTGCAGAATGGAGGGCTTTAAAATTTTTCTTACGCAAGAAATTACCTCAAAATTCCCTTTACTAATTGTATGTGATATAGGGATATTACGATATTAATATTATACTTGTTACCGTTCTATGTAATTGTGTAAATAACTTTTCAATTAAGCGGCTCTTCAGAGGAACCGAAAGGCAATTGTAATGCTTAACTTCGATTTAAGCGGTCCATGAGTTTCTGTCTTTACTATTATTGTTAAGGTGATCGCATATGAAAAAAATAACGACAGTTATGAATCTCGAGAATTTCATGGTTATAATCGACAACATTAACTTCTCAATCGTTTCTTTCTCATTCCGTTCCATTTTGATATCAAGCTTTTCGTTAGACCTTTGTCAGAGCGAATGACGTTTCGTATGAATTTATTATCATGAGATGAATGTCACACGCTCTTGTTTAAATTCTCAGTCGAATGAAGCGCCTTGTCTGACGATCACGTGATTAGCGTGCATGTGACAGAAACGCCAGAGGATTGTCAATTGCAGTGTTATTTAGAGGATGACTATATGTCGATCAACATCGGAGTAATAGGGGATGGAACGTGCTATTGTGAATTGAGTGACTCAGACCATGTTTTACATCCTTGAGATCTCGAAAATCAGAAAGACATTATTTACATATCAGTACAGGTGAGAATTTCCGATTCAACTGACGGATCAATTTTTCTGTCAATCTTATTCCGTAAGGGAATGCATAAATCTAGAAAAATGAACGAACAATCCTCTCTCGAGAATTAACTCATAGAGCAAACACGAGTTCTAGTTACTATTTGTTTACAGTATTTTGTCATGAACAATCGAGCAAATCTGCTCGCGATCGAGGCATCGGTTTTGCATCACTGAAAGAACATAGATACCACTGGTCTTCAAACAAGCAATGGCCAGTCTCAACCTCTTAGCGAGATTGTCGCTCGTGTGAGTTCAGTGGACTTTCTGACACAGAAACCTTCGATATGATAGAAGAACCCCCTGGTATGAAATGACGACTATTTTAGCCTCCTAATTGTAAACATACATGCGGTATCAAAAAAGCCCCTACATAGCCTACTCCGGTCTGCCACAACGGCAACGTTTACTTCCAAAGGGCACATAACGTTGCTAATATCGGGATTTCAGTCGACTGAAACTTGAATGAAAAGTAGCTTATGGGTGTTAAAAGCATAATACAATTGTTGACTTGTAGAGAGCTCTGAACGCGACATTTATGCAATACCCAACTTAAATACGTCTTTTGATTGGATGGCTGAACTTGTCGCGAGTCGTGAATTAAAATACACTTACTTTCTCGGATAAACAAAATTCACTAAGCCCCCGGGGAAACAACGACTTGACTTTCGACTCTCACGGATGCAATGCCCAAATTAAATACGTCTTTTGATTGGAGGGCTGAACATGTCGCGAGTCGTGAATAAAAATACACTTACCTTCTAGGATAAACAAAATTCACTTGGCCCCCGGGGAAACAACGACTTGACTTACAACTCTCACATGATAAGGTCGTTCACCGTGAAACCGCAGCAAATATGTGTGCCAGCCTGCGTATAAAAATTACTTTTTGCAGTCATTTTCGAGTTGGGATGTATGAGAAACACTTTAAAAAATTAAAATTGAAGTGACTGGCCCCACAGGAAGCAGTGAGGATTGCTTTACCTTGCCCTGCCAGGGCAACAAAACTCACTATATCCCTTGGAGTCGGTCATTAGTCACTTATTTTACCAACTTTGCCAGGTGTCTGCATTATAATTGTCTGGAAGCGAAAGTAAACACTATTAGTAGAGTAGCTAGAGGGAAAAAGATGAGAAAATAATTAGAGCAATAAATAAACTAAGTGATGAGAACACGAAATACGATTGTGTTGTTTTTCAAGGATTTGAGCGCTCCGACTTAGCCTCTTCCGATCACTTTTTTTCACGTCTGCTTCTGATTAGCTAAAAAAACTTTAGTCACACTGATCCATTGTACGGCTTGTTGAACATGATTGGTACTCTCAATGCGAATGAGACAAATCTAAATGTTTATCATTGTGGCTGGTGAATCTTTTGCTTCAGATATTGAAATCCGACATACTCTAATTTTAATGCATCTTGATACCTTTTTAAAGCGAAAACACACCTCAGATGAGGTATAGGTAAGCGATAATTTTAAATTTCAGGCACGATAGTACAACATTTTCAACACCGAAAATCTATTAAGCAAAAATTTAAGGATCTCGTCGCCCAAGAATTAGTTAAGAAAGTTTGTTCCTAAATACACCACATTAATCGCAGTCATTATTGAACAGCTGCCTCTACTCTGTACTGTGTAGTATGGTTGTGCATCTTACACATTTTTAAAGAGGAAACACACCTAAGGTGAAGTATAGGTAAGCGATAATTTTGAATTTCAGGCACGATGGTAACATTTTCAACACCGAAGATGTCTTAAGTAAACATTTAAGGATCTCGTCGTCCAAGAATGTAGTAACAAAATTAGTCTTTAAATAGAGCCAATTGTTTGCAGCCATTCTTGACCAGCTGCCTCTTCTCTGTATTGTGTAGTATGGTTTTGCATCTTAACACATTTTCAAAGCGAAAACCTCCTCAGGTTAGGTTTAAGTAAGCGATAAATTTGGATTTCAGGCGCGATGGTAACATTTGAAACACCGAAGATCTATTATGTAAAAATTTAAGGATCTTGTCGTCTAAGATCTTATTAATAAAATTCGTTTGAAAACAGAGCACATTAATCGCAGCAAATGTTGGTCAGCTGCCTCCTTTCTGTACTCAGTGGTACGGTTTTTCTGCGGTTTTCAAGGTTCTTACATTCTCTTCCTTCAAATAAAAGGTCATTCGGTTTTATCAACCGAGTTGCCAATGTAAATTGGCCACCGTAAAGATTTGCTACATGTACCATTGTCTCAAATATGTCTGTTAACTCTGTTTAATCAATTTTAATCAATGCGACCTACTGATATTAATTTTTTCATTTTGAACTGGGCAATATCAACATCTGCTTTAATAAAGATCCCAAACTAACGAGAAGCATCATATTGAATATGAAAGCGATTTCCGCAGTAATGAACATTACTTTACCAGTAGAGAAAAAAAGGCCTGACAAAAATTAAGGCCCGCACGAGATTTAAACCCATAACCTGTGCGACACCGATGCCGTGCTCTATCAACTGAACTAACAAGCCATCTGGGAGCTGGTCATTATGTTGTTTTATAATAAACCCGTGAAGTTGACAATAATCCGCGGTTCACTAGGATGATTTTCGTACATTCACAGTCATTGAAACATTGTTAACTGCTCTAGTGCTCAGCGGGACCATGAATTGTTTCCTGTTTTTTTTTTTTTAATCTCCCTCAATCATACTTTAGAACTTGCCTGAAACGCCATTAGCGCTAATCATTGATTTATTGAAGAATGAGTCAGACATTATCATAACAGTGTCGGTAAGAATTGGAGATACTCTCTAGCTACGAAAGATCACAATCATTTTTCTTTTTATAATCCTCATTTGTCAATCCTAAACCATCCTTGTTCATTCTCTTTGTTTGTTATCATCGTTTTAGATATCGAAAACCTCGCATGTTTACAATGGTTGGTTATGGTTTACTCTCATGGTGATAATTAAAAAAAAAAAAAAACGAGTCAGTATCAGGCTGAACATGTTGAACTACAATGTTAAAATCAACACTGAAAAGTTGTTCGTTTTTTTCACCCACAGAGCATGGAATTAACAACAGAACTGGGTTTTACCATAGCGTTTTCTATATTCATGATCTTGGCATTGTTTGGAAACCTGTTGCTGATATACATTGTCTGGAAGAAACCTGAAACGAGAGGTCTGACAAGTTTCTTGTTCGTCAATATGGCCGTGGCCGATCTACTAGTTGCAGTATTTCAGATTCCTATCTCCATGGCTCATTTTTACGCAACTGAAATGACTGGTGTAGCCGGTGACCTGTTCTGTAAGTTTTTTAACTACATTTTGCAAGTGTCGATGACAGCCTCCATTCTCAGTTTGGTCGTGATGGCATTTGATCGATACTTCGCTGTCATACACCCTTTGAGGCGAAAGATCTGGTTCCGAAGATCCAAGGTAATTCTACCTGTCATTTGGGTCCCATCCTGCACTTTAATGGCGGTAAATTTAGTCTCTTACGAGGCTCATTATGGGAAGTGCCTTTATACAGAGAAGCATATTTCAAGCGTTATCCTATTTACCTACTTACTGGTCATCAACTATGTCTTGCCTCTCGCCATCATTTCTGCCCTTTACATCAAAATCGCGAGGAAAATATGGTTCCACGAAATTCCTGGTCAAAACGAAATCTCTCGAAACCTGGCAGATGATCAGATTCCTAAAAGAAAAGTCCTCCGAACGCTCATCATCATTGTGGTTGTTTTTGCAGTCTGTTGGTTGCCCGCCCAAGTGCTCCAAATGGACTACGTGGTGACAGCAACAATAAGATGGCATCCTGCAGTCATCTATTTTTCCTCTTGGCTCAGTCAGGCTAACAGTGCTATTAATCCCTGGCTCTACATCCTGCTCAATGGTAAAATGAATGGAGCTTTTCGCAGAATGATCCGAGGCCAAAGTGTGAAAAGCAGGGCATCCAGCAGGACCAGCCAATCGACCACGGCCGTGAGCTTACTCAAAAATTCCTTTCTTGACAATTCCGTAGTTTAAGGGATCAGCGCAGCGCTCTACTGACTAAAACAATAGAGGATTGGGTTTAGCCTTAGGATATATGTAGGTTTGCGTGATTGTGTTTTCCTCCTAGTAAATAGATCGATGCTGCAACAAGAAAGTGCCTTGAGATTGGTAAGGTCACTAGATCAGTCCTACAAGAAAAAGTATTTAAGATCATCACATAACAAGTGTAAGGGATCTTGATGTTCCGCCATAAGATTACAGGTTTTCTTAAATGTATTACCCTTAAATAGTTAGCTGCCGCCGTGAACAGAGCTCCTAAAGACCATAAGGCAATGCCACGGTCATCAGATCTGGTCTATGGGACATTTTGTGAACAGTACACCACAATAATTAGCAGCCTTGATGTCTACACTTGCATGAATGTATTTACCCCAGATGTGTGTTCGTTGCCTTTATCTACCAGTTCGAAAAAAATATTAAAGTGAGTTTGTTAGTAGTCCTGGCAAAATCCTTCTATTTCTATGAAGTAAAAAACCCAAGAGAACTCACATTTATCCAGTAGTAGATTGATGGTAAATAATGATATCTGTGCTTCTCACCGGAGAATCGCTTCATGGTAGAAGCGATTGCAGCTTGTGGTACGCCATTCAATCGTCACTTTTTGTTTTTGAATTCGTAGTGGGATCCAGCTGAAGTTGATAGCTAGTCAATTTATGCGACAAGTTTTAATTCAGGTATGTGAGGCACCGAAGTACATGTTTTGTACACTGAGTACTTTTTATCAAAGAGGAAAATTTATTTCAATCTGGGTGATACTGGATAAAGAAAGAGAACGGACTAATCATGGAAAAGGTTAGAAAAAAGAGAAAAAAATAGAAAAGCATAATCAAGATACGTTAAGTCGTGGTGGGTGGCAATGTATAAATGCAGTTGCGAAAAGAATGTATCTCATTAGTTACGTTTTCCTCCATATTTTCTAAGTCTCCTTTCATAAACACGGCGGTAAAACGTCTACGCACCTGCGAATGTTGTAGAGGCTCTATGAAGTACTTTCAGAGTCTTCAAAACCAAGTTGTCTTTGAGATAACTACTCGAGCAAGCAAGTAGCGGCGTTCAAAAACCGTGTAAATTATTTGATAATGTTCAAAATAAGTGTTGTGAAAAATTGCATACGAAGTATCGAGTTTTCCTTTCTTCTTCCTTTTTTTTTTATTTTCAGATTTATATGAAAAGATCAATGTTTTTGTTTTTGTTTTGTTTTTTTTCGCATACCTGTGATAACACTTGGCGATTTAGAAGTTAAACTTGTGCGATTTATATATGTCAAAAGACTTTGATTCGGGGATTAATAAATCGGTAGTCGACAAATTTTGCTATTCTGTAGGTAACAATTATCTTATGCATAGAGAATAGGAACGGTTAAATGATTGTTCAACACTTGGCGCCTCAGATACAGCATACTGCATTTTGTCGAAATTTAAAAGAAATTTAACTTTCCAAATGCGACTGAAAGGCGACAATTTTTTAAAATAAAAAATGACCCACCACAGCGTTTGACTCTAATATAATCATTATACTATAATTAAAGCTAAGACTGACATATTTAAGTTCTCTCCGTAACACAATCAGTGAAAGGTAGAATCCTAATGGCGAGAAATATTTAATAAAAAGCAACAGTTAGAAGTGAGTTCCCAGGATTATGTTTCGGTCAATTCCATTTCAACAAAACAAATTATAGCTAGATAAAAACTCATCATAAAAAATGTTAATGGCGAGAAAAATTAAGTAAAAAAGCAATAGTTATAACCAAGCTCACAGGATTATGTTTACGTCAATCCATTTAATCGAGAACAAGATAGATTTGAACTTATCATAGGATTTTGTAACGAGGGAGAAAAAAGAGAATTAAAAAATAAATGGTAATCATCGTGTTGTGGTCTCACTTCAATACTTTGTATTCCTCCCGGTCTAGCATGAGTTCTAGTTGGCCATGTGGTGAGAGAGCTTTAGTTACAAATGGAAAGTCTTCAAACTCACAACTCAGACAACCAGGCTGTCTAATTTTCGTCCCATATTACCTTCAAGCTAATGCATTCTAATGGTAACCAAAACGTCAAATACGTAACATTTTGTGGTTTCAGATAAAAAAGCGTCACGTTGGTGGAAAAATCATTTTAACACATTGCCTTTTGAACAAGATTAGCGATTCGGTGGATTTGTTGTCGTCCGCACTGCTCCTTAAATTCGGAAACGGAGAATTAAGCCTTTAAAGACAGATTCGCTGTTCTACACAACTCAAAGAAAAGGAAAAGCAATTTTGCTTCTCCACTTTCAACTGGTAAGTAATTTATTATTTATCGCTGACTGTTTTTCCGCCCTGAATATTGTACGATCATCACACGATTTCGCTAACATTATCTAAAAACCTAAATTGTGATATTTCTTAGAGAATGCAATTTTATTGCCCTTAAGATCTGTTCAAATATGATTTCAAACTAAGCCATCGGCTTTTGAGATCATGATCGTGTATCTCTTAAATAATTCATATGAAAGGTTTAAAAACATAAACAAAAGGGGAATAAAATGTGTTAGCGGTCAATGATCGGAGGCACTGAGAGAAAAAAACCTCTGAAAGCAACATGCAAGTTCTACATTGATCAGAAATATCTTCAGTTTGAGAAAAGCTTCCAGAAATGAGCTAAAAATTAGTTAAACAGGAATATCGCGGAACTCTTTCAACTTCTTTCCATTAAGCTAATATTTTCAAGGCTTATTCTTACAAATGAAGGCAACATCTGGGAGTTGAAATGCACGAAAATAATTTAAAGGTTTCGACCTTTTAGACTTAGGATTTAGCTCGAGGAAAAGGAACACTAATGGTTTTTAAATATTTAGGGTGCTCGTCTTTACGGTTAAGATAATTGGAAATCGTTTGAAAATACCTCTACGGCATTGGTTTAAATGAAACAATGAGAAAGAAGTTATAACATTATACCAATGGAAGCAGAGACAGGAGGATTGACTTCCCTGGTGGCGACTGGGGTCGAGTCCAGACCAACGACACTAGGCTAGGACGTAATGAGAGCAAAACTGTAGAAAAAGTTATCTGAGGTTGGGAAAACACCGTTGTTTAAATTTTTTGTTTTCCTCCTTCATTTAGAGAACATGGAATTCACCGCTGAAGTAGGGTTCACCATACTTTATTTCATAACAATGGTCGTGGCGTTGCTTGGCAACACGTTGCTGATATACATTGTGTGGAGAAAGCCTGAGACAAGAAGTCTGACAAGTTTCTTGTTCGTTAACATGGCAGTGGCTGATCTAATGGTTGTTGTTTTTCAGATGCCAATTAACTTCGTTAATCTGCATGTATCAGAAATTCCCTCCGAGGTCGGTTACTTTTCGTGCAGATTCCTTTACTACCTCGTCAACATTACGATGACGGCGTCCATCTTTAGTCTTGTTGTCATGGCATTTGATCGATACTTTGCCGTTGCACATCCTTTTAGGCAAAGCATTTGGTTCAGGAAAGCCAAACTAAGTATTCCGTTCATATGGATCTCATCAGTAGCTTTGATGGCGATCACTCCTTTTGCCTTTAAGCTGGAGAATGGACGGTGCTATTTTGCAGAGGACAAGATGCTTCCACTGGCCTTCTGGACGTATCTCCTTCTTATCAGTTACATACTTCCTCTCGCTGTCATCTCTGTTCTGTACTTCGCAATTACCCGCAGAGTATGGTTTCACGAAATTCCTGGGCAACAAGAAAGCATTCGAGACCAGCCACAGGGTCAAATCCCAAAGAAGAGAGTCATCCGAACGCTCATCATCATAGTGGTGGTGTTTGCTCTTTGCTGGCTTCCCCTTCAAGTATTCCAAATGGACTTCGCGGTGCGAAACATGCTCACGGACTGGCATCCCATTTCTATCTACTTCTCTTATTGGCTCAGTCAGGCTAACAGTGGAATAAATCCCTGGTTATATATCGGCCTGAATGGAAAAATGAAGGCAGCCTTCAGCAAAATGATTCGATGCCGCCAAGGAGAGAGTGGTCGGAGATACAAGGCATCCACTTCAACTTTACCTCGTGAGTCAGCAGGAAGCACACGTTTGTAGTCCAAGTTGTGAAACCAGTTCGAAACCTGCAGAATCAAGTCAAGCCTAGTGTAGATAGCGTTATAAATGCTAAGTTGTGTATACACTAAAGAAGGTTTCGAGCTGAAGTCATCATATTGCAATAGGTGCTAAAAGCTACAGTAAATTACGGCATAGATATAATCAAATTTATCTGATTTGCAAAATCACCTTTAGCTTCTGTAAGATCTAAGCGCTTTTTCATCAGTTTTAGAATTATTTATTTTTTCTTTTCTTTTCTCATAACGCCTTGTTAGTGTTTTTTGTTCAGTTTGTTAGATTTTTCGTCAGTTACACTTTCACTTTTGCACGCTTTCATACCACACGTAATTACCCCAGTCCTCTTATCATTTGCATGAGGACCTATAAACCCAGTTTCTTTATAGCTTGATCGCTTTTTTTCTCCGTGAGTTTCTTCCGAAGTCATACTAAGCGCGGTTTTCTGATTAAGAAGTCTCTATCATTTAGTTATTTGCAGTTGCAGTTATTTTTAGGCGCTATTAATTTTAGTATTTTTCCGTTTCATTTTGTTTGTATTTCTTTGTTGTTGTAATTTTTTTTCCATCCTATGTGAGTTACCTTTTCTCCACCTTTTTTAGCTGCAGCTTGTTATCCCCTTAGCTCGTTTAGGTTTAATAAAGTCAGTCATAGAGTAACTTTGGGGTCTTGTCTTCGCCTCAGTCCATTAAAACACGCTCAAAAAAGAACTCGACCAGTATACCGCCATCCTAATCTCATACTTCGTCAATAATGCACGAGAAGTGGGGAATACAGATCTTTGCCGCCATATGTTAATGCAAAAGCTTGTTTACCATCGCAAATTTCTCTCATCCTTAAAGCTTTGATTGAAATCTTTTCCCTGTATTCAACAGGATCAAGCGTTTCTTTTGGACATATTAGGCAAAGTATGTCAAAATGAAGCCTATGTTACAAAGAAAGCCTAAAACAGGAGAAGCTGGTAAAAAAAAACAAAAAAACAAAAACAAAACAAAAACTCATTAAGCGGCTGCAGACCCCAAGTGGATACGGACATGACAGGTAATAGGCATTTTATCTACAGAATTAAACTGAAAGTATCTTTTCTTACTTAAGGGATGACCACCTTTAAGTAGTTATAACATCATACAATATCCCTACCTGTTACGCATCCATTATCGTGAGTGGTTTTACAGCCAAAGGTACATATAACAAGTCATTGAGACTGGAGTAAGTAGCCTTACACCTGGTGAGAAAATAAAAATGGTTTAATTTCACACCTTTAAAAGTATTTTGACGATGTAATGATATAAAAGAGACATTCGCGTTTAGCTTATGTCATAAATCAGAACGTGTCCTTGATAACCGGCCGGTATGATAGACATTGTGCAGGTTTTCTGTGGTTCCAAATATTTTCAAAATTCATCCTACATTTTTAACAGAACACAATTTTAAATCGGTCAAATCATGTGGTGAGATGCATTACGTGTATTTGATGGGGTTGTCGACTCTTTTCACAGACTAACTTTGTATGATACTACAAATCTTGGCCCAACTACTTTGCTTTTTAGGACGCTGTTTCGCAATTTTGGTCAGAGAGGATGTTGAGGAAAATTTGCCTGTGAATAGATAAAATAACAGCTTGCTTGGGGAGATCAGTGATACAAAAGAGCCGTACGGATTGCAAATGACGAACTCGTACAACTTCGGCCGACTTTAAAGTTACTTATCACGTTTACATACCTCGAGGGTCGTCTTGCTTTTCATTGTCCTCCAGAAATAAACCTTGTTTAGATTTCTTTTCAGGCCGGGCAGGTTTTCTCTGTTGCAGTATTCCCATCACATTGAAATAGAATTTTAAGTAAGAGCAGCCTCGTCCATCAAATTTAAACTTGAATGTGTCGTTTACACCCTAAGATAACCAGTCCCGGACACATGTATAACTAAACCGGAGATTACTTTTACAAAGCTCGATGGGATTGTTTATCATGAATATCGGGGGAAAATAGAAAGATGAGGGAAACCAAACCTTGTTGGTCAGTTCTTAATGGAACATTTAGCTTGCACTGTAAGTCCGTTGACAGTGGGCAAACTCTGGAAAATTTTCGGCCGCCATGTTGGATTTTTTAAGGCGGTGGGAAGTTGGCGAGAGGAACCAATTTCTACCAAGGGGGTGTTCCAGGGTGAGATGAAGGAGGGAGATTGCTCACCTATGCACGTAAAACTTTGGGCAGTTCACACGGAGTAGATAGCTTGGTTATAATGGAAAAGACTCAATCTGACAAAACACATCAATTAAATCAACATTTGCAGCACGCTAATTAAATTGACGTGTATTCTGGAAGATAACTTGACTGTATTTTATTGAGTGCTGGATGTGAGATATAAAAGTGGACGAATTCATTGAACAAACCCTACAGAGTCTCAAACTGTTGATTGTTAATTGTAAATTGTCTTCGACTACGGAAAAACAAGAGTATGCTGCACACGTAAATACATAGAAAACGCGAGAAGGTTGCGTTGCGTTTTGAAACGTAAGGGAGGGGGGGATGGGAGGAGGGAAAGGAGGCTCATTAGACATCGAGCTATATATTAACTCCACCTTAACTTTACAAATTTTCTTTTGTTTAATTCGTTGGCTCAAGCAAATCTCTATGCAGTGTTCACATTGCCCAAAGTATCCGTGATCGACTCTTCTGACATGGGGACTCATTTTTTGCTTTCTCCATCGCTCGTGAAACGACTAATATAAGCTATATACATCCCTCTATGCATAATAGGGTGGTTCGTAAAAATTCACTGAACACATCATTATGTCCGCCGCCTATAGGGGATCGAGTGGCTTTAGGGCAGCTCTGCTTTTCCTTTAATTATATTATCTAATTATTAAACCGATTCATCGTGCTGAAAATTTGTAAACTTTTCCTAACTTGGAGAATTAAATTTTGCTTGTTAAACTACACATAGTGTTTGGGTGATGCCATAATGCTGTGATCTACCACTAAAAATTCCTTACTAGTATATCATGAAAATCTCCAGCCACAGGAAATAGCAATACCTTGCTCATTGCAAAAATCGTCTATAAAATTCCTAGATTCGCAACTGCAATGATGAAACATCATAAATGTTTCCGTCGACTGAATCCAAAGGAACAGTACCGCTTCACTCGTCCAGGCTTTTGCGAAATCTTTCATTCGTAATTCGACATAAGCATGCTGATCTTATGTGGGGTGAATCATTTATTAATCACTAAGTGCAAGAGATATTTTAAACTGCAGTTTATGATATCTTGCTATGATGATGGTATCTACTCTCAAGCTAGTCCACAAAGCTGTTGTTACAATAGTTCAGTGGGGCAGGTAACCGAGATCCTGGTCAAATCAAAGAACTTTCCTGCCATCTAAGTTTTTGCTAGTGGGAAAACATTGACAAAATACTTTCTTTACAACTCAAATAAGGGGGTAGCACTGCATCCCAGTGCAGACCAAAGTATTGGGAGTTTTTCAAAGTGGCAAAAATAACAACCTAAGCAAAAACGCTTCGGGAGTACTTGTCGGTAATAGCTACACAGTTATGGCCAACAGGTCTACAGTCACAGAGTGCAAGCAGGTCGAACTTTTCTCTGTGTCATAAACGTACATCTTTGAATCTGGGTCTTGCGTGAGCGCCACGTCATAAAAACAGCGCCACACTTTTCCAACTTGATTAAATTTTCTGTCAAATAAGGCCATTAGGGTCGTACCACATGCACTTTCCGGGTTACTGGGATATCTTTCGTTACAGAGTTGATCCCTTTTTGCCTGTATTACAGCGTCTAAAAAAAGAAATACAACATCATTTTAAAGATTTTGCGTACCCTTAAGAGTACGTCGAGAGAAATCTGAGATCACATTGGGTTAATTCACTTCGTCTTTTGATTGGAAACTCAGGCGACCTTCTCAACCAATTAGCTGCAATTCTACAGCCGTTAGTGACTAGATCACTTGCGAATTCGCACACTTCAAGCTCTTTACTTGTTTTTAAATTGAATTCTTACCACCATGTTTTGATACCAATCTACTGCCCTCTAGTTGTCGTATAATTGATGGCTTCCCCCTAATTTTTGCTATCATAGTCCAAAGTGAACCGTACAACCTTAGTCTCTGTTGGTTTACAGTTAAAATATTATTTTAAAAAAAATGAAAAAATTAATCGCTTTGTAGAACTATCACGCAGATCTCATTCCCACCTGCCAATGAACATGACGAGGGCGTGACAACTTCTATATTTCCATAAAAGTTCTTCCTAAAATTATACCAAGCAACTGCATCTCCATTCCATGCTCCACACCCTCTGTACATCTCTTTTATCTGTTCACCAGATTGCGCAAAGCTCCATACATTCACCCTACTCATCGTCCCTTCAAAAGACTGAGCAGTTTGAAAGGAACCGCCTTGAGAGTGAACAAAACATAAAATGTCGTGAGTTGAATTAAATATACATTTTGATTGGTTCTTAGAGGACAAACGCAAATATGACGTTACCAGCAAAAACTTCTGTTCATTCATTCATCAGTGATACACTTTTTTGCTCTTGCAATAGCCACATTTTAACGTCATCTGTGATCTATTACTGAACACATGTACGGCAAGTTAGATTTTATTGACACAATCATAAGAAAGAAAAGCTGAAATACCATGAGAATCTTGCTCTTGGCCAAGAATGAACTTCCCATTCCCGTCGACAATCAGTCCGGTTGCGTAATTATCGTTGCACCTGACAGAAACGCCATTGTGATACACACAAAACTTTCCATTTGAGTTTTTCCAGGTCATGCAAACATGATGCCAGCCATTGTCGTGCAAAGGATTACTTAAAAATGTTTCTCTAAACAAGGAACACGGGGAACAGAATTATTAACGCTCAAATGTACCATCAATCTTCATATAACTTATCATATTTCGAACTGGTGACAATCATTTCAAGCTTAGCTACTCCTGAAGAGTCTACCAGTTTCTTTAATACTTATAAAAAAATTCGACACTCGAAAGATGAGTAGGTTGTGTCGGGAAATCAGTTAACTATTTTGCTTCATGTACAGTATATTCCTCCAGATTTCCGGTTATGTCTCTTTAATAACCTTCGAGCGTTTCCAATC